TTTAATTGGCAATAATAAATGAATGCGTTATTTTTTGTTGTTGCGAAGCTAAGTTTCTCTAGATTGGCAACAAATCCATTAGTCTGCTGTTTCAAATGTAAGACATCAATGGCCGCCATTAAAAAAAAGGCTTAGCGGCACTTAACAACTTTAAAATTGTTGATAATTCTAAAAATATTGCATAAAGATTTACTAAAGGCATAAAAACCTTAACCGGAAGATATAAAAACAACATAATAAAAATCATTTTTAAAGCAAAAAATGTACAATTTACAAACATATAAGAGTAAAGAAACTGAGATCATTGAGCCGGGTAACAGTGTGGATATATATATAAATATATTTATATACGTTTGGTGCGGCCGATTGCAACCAAAATACGAGGTGCACATCTACATGTTATAGCAGTCCTATATACAAAATTTCAACGTTCTGAGGCTACTCGTTTTTGAGTTATGCGAGATACGCACGTACGTACATACGTTCGTACAGACGAAAAATTCTCTTCAGAATTCATTTTAAAGCAGTTTTATAATTTTTTTGAAGGAAAAAAAGTATTTTATTCTGTCCTTACGTAGAGATATCACGCAAAAACATCGTTAAATTGCATTCGATAGCGGTCAAAATGGATATTTTCGTTGAAATATGCTGCCTGAAACTTTTCGCGATTACAATACTTCCTTTTTACTACATCCAAGAAAGTAAAAAATAGTTTTTGAAGTGAAACATCATACATAATCGAAGTAAAATATTTAAAGTGATTTGAAATAAAAACTGTTTTAGATTCAACATACATACTACGTAGTTCTCTTGAATTAAATAATACAAACTATAATTAAATAAGGAAATACATGTTTTCAGAAACATGCGTCATATAATGTAAGCGATTCAATAAAAACTTAAAGCAATCTGAACGAAACCCATGTTGAACACGTTTCCTCAAGAATTTTTCTTGCATTAAATATTACAAAATATAACTAAATAGTGACATTGTATATGCAGTTAGAAAAATATAAATCACATAATTTAAAGTGAGTTTGATAATGTAAAGTGTAAAGTAATGTAAAGTATTATATAATGTAAAGTGATCAGATAAAATTTAAAGTAATCTATATAAAAGACTTGTTATTTTCAATATATTTCCTAAAGAGTTTTCTTGAGTTAAGTAGCACAATAAAATAGTGATATTGTATACACAGTTGAAAAAAAAGGTATCATGCAATGTAAAATGATTTCGATAAAAATGGGAATATTGTACATATAGTTAGAGAAATATGCATTGTATCTGGGATATTAGTTATATAATTAGATTAATACGCATCACATAAAGTGATTTAATAAAACATTTAAAATTATCCGAAATCAAATATGTATTACATTCAATACATTTGCTGAACAGGTTTCATGAATTAAATAAAACAAAAGGTAATTAAATGAGAATTTTGTAAATACAATTGAAATCTGCTGCATCATTTATTGGTTCTAGAGGAGACAATAACTCTTACGAACATTTGCTGATTCAAAAACTAATAGAAACTAATAATTCAAAAACTAATAGAAACTAATAATTCAAAAACTAATAAAATATATTAAAAACAGAAAAAGTGCAATATTTCTTTACTTATTTATTGGTAGCTTAGATAATAGTTCATCCATATATCTGCTTGAAAATTATAAAACAGAGAATACCAAATGAAATAATTCCTTGAAAATAATCCTCAGCTGAAGAAATAAGCTTTAAAATATTCACCTCCCTTTTGAGACATATTTTCTAATTTGCATATTATACCATAATCTAAGCTTACTTATACAATTATTTATTAAAATATATTTATTGCTATTTGCATATCTATAGTAAATAAATATGTTATTAATTTGAATAATAATAAAAGTCTTGAATTTTAATGTAGTTCATCTGGCAAACCATCCATAAGCATCGTTTTTCCAGTACAATCACCTGCATTTCGGAATAAGTACTTACTCTCTATAATAACGCTTTCCGTTTTACTCAAAGGCATTAGTTGCAACACAAGTGTAATTACCGATATCGGAACCTTGTATTTCTCCAATTAAGAAATGTGAACTACTTTTACTGTTAGATATTTTATATTTATGATGTGATTGCATTTCTACACCGTTATGCATCCACTTGAACGTTACTGGAAATGCTCCCCGTTTGACGGTGCAAAAGATTTCTATTATATCACCATAGCAAGGTTAGGAGGAATAATAAGTGGATTTAGCACGGGAACATCCTCCGCAGATACACCTATAAGAAAAATATATGGTAATAATTAATTTCTTCGAAAGAATTAACGTAAAAGTACTTATGTTTGTGAAGACAAATACGCTTAGCGATGGACATGATAAATTTAGGTATTTTCATTAGAAACTATTTTCTAAAATATACTTTGAAACTATTATAGAGTTTGAAATTTCGTTACTGAAGTAACAACTAAAACACGCACCTCAGTTATAAAGCTAAAATAACACAAATAGTATATGAAATCATATTATCATCACACTCTTTTCTACATTAAAATTATGTAAGAAATTGCTTACCTATTTCAATTTCCATCGAAGTTAGTAGTAGTGTCAAATAAAACATTCTTGACGCCTTCATCATAATGTGGTTGCAATACAAGTAACTACGACAAAATAAATGGTTATGAAATTAATTATGCGCTTTTCACAGATATGTAGTGCGGAAAAGATTAAATGTGAATCAACTAAAGAAGATTTTATGAAGAGTAGTGATTATGTAGAAGGAACGCTCTCTACATATGACAGTGGCGTCACGCAACGATAAAGAAAGGAAAGCAAGTAAAACTGTAAGTTTATTAAAAAATAAAAACAGTTCACAATAAAAGTCAGAAAACAATTTATTGGAACGAAATTAAACTTTGATAAATTTATTTACAAATACTTTGAAACATATTAATGTGTAATTATAGGCATATAAACAGATAAAATTTACACAGCAGGGGAAAGTGTTTAAGATGCGTAATTCATGCACAAGATAGAATTTTAATAAATATAAAGCACTTTAAATTTAGGCAAAATTCTGCCTTAGTCTGATATTTAATTTTAGAGAAGCATTCTGTAGACTTCGGAAAAATAATTTTGTTTTCAAAATTCATAGAATATCCCTCTGATAATAACACCTGTCTGAGGCTGATATTTATTTAATTTTAAAACTGAAATTTTCTACTTTTTTTTAATAAATACGAAATATTTACGAAAAATACGTGTGCTTAAAATGCTCCTTTAAAAGTTTTTAAACATTTTAAACGAATTGAAAGCACGAACTTGCAATTAAGTTTTACACATTCATTATTATTCATTCTCAAATAGATTGTTTATAAATAAATTTTATCTCATGGTTTTGCTCAGATTATGGATCCAAATTTAAGCATAAAAAAGAAACTAAGTTTTAAAGTGAAAATATTAACGCATTCTTAAAACACTGAAAATATTTGAAATAAAAAATATCATGTTTTCCATAAATAATACTTGTCAATTTAAATACTTGTGGCATACGAACATCCAAAGCTATTAATTAAATGAAGCAAAGTTAAATAGTTTTATTACCTTCAATGATGACTTGATCGGTTTTACTATCTTGCCCGAATACATTAATTGCTTTACATGTATAGTTGCCAATATCGGCAGCTGATATCTGCCCAATTACAAACTGTGAGCTTATTTGAGTGTTAGATATTTTATATTTTTGATGCTGAGACACTTCGTTTCCATTGTGATACCACTTGAAAGTTATAGGTAGCGTTCCTCTCCTTACTGTACACGAAAGTTGAGTCATATCGCCAACAGTCAAATTGGGAGGAATAACCATAGGATTTAAAACTGGAGCCTCATCAGTAGCTGAAACTGAATTGAAAAACGTATCATGTATGCACTCTGTAAATTTAATTTTAAAAGAAAGAATTTTTTGGAATTTAAATATTTTATAAATAAACATATTTTATCAAATTGTGTAAAATGATAAAATTATATTTTTAAATTATCAGGAACCAGTACAGCAGAAATTAGAGCTAGTACTTTTTTAAAACATAATAAAAATAAGCATTTAATTTAAATAATGTAATTTAATAAGACATTTATTGAGTTTTGAACATAAGGGCTACTAAAACAGTGACATACCAAATAAATTTATTTTTATAAATTATAGTGAGTGTAGCAATTTAATAAATGGTACCGAATGTAATAGAAAGTGATATAACTATTATTGGTAATCAGAACGGATTTCTAAATTTGATTAAATAAAAGGTAATAATACTGTAAAATATTATTATCTCTATAAATTATGTGATAAATTAAAATCATTTGAAATGTCATTGATACATATTAAATACTCTGCGAGAACTGTTTGAAAGGCACATTTTTATGCATCACTAAAATGTTTCAAATAAACTTACCTTTGAAATGAGCAGTCACTATCCATATCACTCCAAAGAATATGGCTGTAAATGCTTGAAACATTAGTGCTGCTACGTTGAGAAACTGAGTTTGCACATTCACAAAATGCTTCTATAAAAGGATTATTGATACCAGGTATAATAAAACTGCTGAAAGTATTTATGTATCTATCAATAGCACCTAAGCTTTATCTGTTACATGACCACAACATCCAGCTAACTGTACGTGGTGAAAAGCAAGATTGCAGCGCCACATCTCGTTGAGTTGAAATATAATGAAGAAAATGCAAAATTTCCTAACTATGTTTCGTGTATTTAAATGCAAAAAAGTTAAGAACTTTCCACATGTATCTACAGCAGATTTAATGAATGTAAATAAAATAAGGTATATAACTAAAATCTACTACGAAAGTATTGATATACATGAATGCATATCATTTCTTTAACCTTTAACGCATTAAAAATAAAAGCTAATTTTTTTATACATTGCATAGTTTTGAGATGACATTAAAAAGTGTTTATGGAAACTACAAAATTGCAAATAGTTTTAGTGACATAATATTACAGCAACAGTCAAAGATGAAGTTTTCGATATTTGATGCAAGCGACTGATATATCAATAGCTTACTTTCTCAATTCGATAGAAGTAGCAAGTTATTAAAACTGATGCAAAAATCCGTTAATTTGAATATAAATTTTTAATATACACCTTATGTACAAAATGAAACAATTGCAAGGTTTATACCCTTTCATTTCTATTTAATAACAGTCAAAAACTGATATACAGAATGATTAAATATTTGATATTTGAATTTTTTTTTTTTTTTTTTTTTTTTTTTTTTTTTTTTATTTCAGCTCACCTTCTATTACTACGCGGACTGTTCCACTGTCTTCACCTAATCTATTGCTTGCAACACAAGTATAATTGCCGATATCAGAAGCTTGTATTTTTCCTATAGAAAGAAGGGAGCTTGTTTCTGTAGTGGTAACTTTATATTTCTTCCTGGACGTAATGTTTATCCCATTGTACAACCAGCTGAAAATAAGAGGAGAACTACCTCTCTTTAGCGTACATAATAATTCTGTGTTGTCACCAATTGACAAATTTGGTGGGATCTGTAGTGGATTTAAAACCGGAGCTTCTTGAGCTATGTTATAAAGAAAAAATAAATTCATATTATGTCATAAACATTAAACTGATTGTTTATATATAAATTAACATTTTATCAGTTTGATTTTTAACTGCATATAAACTTGTATACTATAATATTTATTTACTTTAGAAACGTCTAATATTTATATAAAGTGAAACGTTTTACTCTATCAAAGCTAATATGCATTTTACTTTAAGTAATTATTCTACCTCACGAATACATCTGTTCCAGTTTGTCTGAAATGAAATAAATATCATGAAAGAATAAACAAATTATAAAAAGGTATATTATTTTTTAATATATTTTAGGTTTCATAGGTAGCAGATAGAGGATTCAAAAATTTTTTAATAATTTTATAATTGTATCGTTATGTTCTCAAAAATTTACGAAAGAAATATTATTTCATTGTTTACGTAATTTGGTCATTTACATACATTTATTAAATAAGATATATCGAAAACCCCTAAAAATTATTTTTTTGAATTTATAGCATTACATAATAAGATGGCAGCTTCAGAAATCAAAAGAATTACTTTAACGGATTTTTCAGTAAAATATATTTTAAATTACTTAAAATTTCGATAGCACTAATGCCTATAAAGAGAATTAAAATATTATACGTCATTTTTTAGAAATTACGCACAAGTTTTCACACCTATTGCATAAGTAACTTCTGATTTAATATTCACTTTATTTTTGTGTTTTTAATCAGAATTATTTTAGGCACAAATTTTAGTATCACAAAATTAATAAATTTTTGAAAGAAATAAGGATCATAATTGCTTAGAAACGAATAAAATAGAATTTCCAAAATGATGATTAAATTTATATTATGAAAAAAATATGATTTCTATGTTTTTACTTTAAGTAACACGGAAAAATAATTTACGTGTTAATTTAACATAAGGCTTTGCAAATAAATCCAGTGCGTATTCCAAGCTGACAAAAGAATTAGCATATTTCTTCAAGTATCACTTCACTGCTTTAACTATGTTATAGCCAAAACTTAACATTTACAGGCGTTAAATTACGTGCAGCAAATTCTCTCAGGTAAAAAACGGCATGACACAATAAAGTGCGATTAAATGCTCTGATTCTAGAATATGGTGCAATAAAACTTTTTAACAAGCTACTGAAAATCATTTGTTGCAATTGAAAAGTAATTAATGTTCACAATCGAATAATTTCTTTAAATTCAAAAATAGAAATATTAACACTTAAAAATATATAGCTAAAACATGTACTATACCTTCTCCAACTGAAAAACCAGTTACTAGTAAAAGGAATGATATCTTGATGTGCTTCATTGCTTGGTGAATGGTGAATGTGTTTCCCTAAAAGTGTTAATGATTAAGCATGATTTCAACACAAGTAAGTTTATATTTGAAGCATAAAATCAGAAAGAATGTATATGAAATTTTAATTTATTGAATTAATGTCCATACCTTTTAATTCACAAAGAAAGTTTTGACAACATCTGGCAAACGCTTCATGGTAAAACTAAACAAGATACAGTATTGCCATTTAACAAGACTGTAGCGCCACACAACGTTAACTTTTGTAGTTAAAAATCATAAATGGAAAATAAACTAAAAGTTTCAGTTCTTTTTCATTCTACTTTATTTCTTACCTTCAATAATAACATTAACTGTACCACTGTCTTTTCCAAATCTGTTGGTAACGACACATGTGTAATTACCAATATCTGATGCTTGTATTTTACCAATAGACAGATGAGAGCTGCTTTCGCTGTTAATTATTTTATATTTCTGCTTTCCATTTAAATTTACGCCATTATGATACCACTTAAAAGTTACCGGAAAGCTTCCACGTTTAATTATGCAGAACATTTCTGTAATGTCACCAAGAGCAAGGTTAGGAGGCACAAACATTGGATTCAAGACTGGAGGAATGTTTGTAGTATCGCCTGAAAACAAGTAAAAAGAATTTAATTTCTCTTTCCCCCTTATATTTTACAGCACATACTTATTTTTAGATTTTTTCTTATACCTTAATATAAACACAAATTCTTTTCCATAATTGTATTAAAATATGAAAAGTTTACAATATTACGTAAATTATGGATTGCTATTTACTTACAAATGTTTAATTAATTTGTACTTCTGTATTCAATTTAATAAAAGTTTTTTTTAAACAAATAACAATCGTCGCAACTTAAACAATTACCTATTCAAAAGAATCTTACATACGAAATTAAAATTGAATTTCCACAACCATGCATAAGGAAAAGCATACTGCAAAAATAAATAAAAAGAAATTACTCATTGAACTGTAAAAACTGTTTAGTAATTATTCTAATAAAGAAATCATGAAATATATATTTCAAGAAAATAAGTAATAGATGAAAACGTAGGCTAGATTCTTGTATTAACTGCATTTTTACAAACGTCTTTATTCTGTTACGCGACTATAAAAAATTGTTATTATTTTTTATTTTAAACTACCACGAGGAACATTATTATTGCTACCCACTTCCATCTTCATAATCAGTTTTCCATTAGATCATAGTACTACGTAAATGCTCATACTTCTAGATGAAAACTTAAAATAATATAAATCATAGATATAAAACTGAATTATGCATTAACTTATACATGCTTATCACAACATAAGAGAATTAAATTCTTAACGACGAATTTTCAACAGAAGAAGCAGAAATATTACATAAAAATTATATTACATTTAAGAATGTAAACAGTGATGAAGGATAAAGCTTACTTACTACAATGTATGAAGATATTAGTTTGCAAATAACTGAGAAAGAAAACAGCAAAGGCTAACATTGTTGTCATTGTCACAGTGTTTCTGCAATGCAAAATATATAATTTTTACTTACAAAATATGTTTAAATATGTAAAATAGCTCTTTATGTTATTTGCATTATTTAAGATATTAATACAAATGATAACTCTATTTTACATACCTCCTTGCTTGATGTTTCGGAAAGTAGCGTTTATACTGCTTAAATCCCCAATCCAACAACAACAAGCTTCATTCAGCTTATGACTCTAGCGCCACATAACGATCAAATTCGAAGGCAAAATACAAAAATTTTAAATTGAATTTATAAATGATAAATTAGAAATAAATCACATATATTAATTACAAAGTAATCTCTTCGAGATTTTAAAAATAATTTTGATAGGAAGGGTAAATTTATAAATATGTGTAGATATCAGAACGAATAACTTTAATGTATTTTAGCTTATAATGCAGAGAGTACTCTAAAATGCTTTAAGAATGCTTTTCACTAAGAGTACCCTAAAATGCTTTTCACTTACAAAAAGTACAAAAATTGCTTGTAATTTACCTTCAATAACTAATTGCACAGTAAAGCTGTCTTGCCCGTAACTGTTTTTTGCAAAACATGTGTAATTACCAATATCAGAAGCCTGTATTTTTCCAATGGATAAGTGAGAACTGCTATCGCTGTTCATGATTTTAAACTTTTGTAAAGACTTAATTTCATTTCCATTATGCAACCACTTTATTTGCACAGGATAACTTCCTCTTTTAATAATGCACAAAAGCTCAACATTATCTCCAATAGCTAGATTTGGAGGAACAAACATGGGATTCAATACTGGTGGTTCTTCTGGAACCCCTATAAGAGAAAAATTATTTATAGGTGCATATACTAAACATAAGACTTCATGTTATAAATTTTAAACTAATACGATATTTTGTAATTATTTATTAAGAACAAAAGAGTAATCCAGCTAAATTACCTTATTAATACTATTTCACGGTTTAGTTTACATTCAAAGACTTCAAGCAAAATGCTAAATTACCTTAACAGTCAATTGGATGTAGAGCAAAAAATGGAACAACACATATAATACTTTGATATTTTAGCATTTAACCAGTCTTACATTTAATTTTTTTTCCTTGCAGTTTAACGGCCTTAAGTATTAGTACAATAACAATAATATTATTGTTTAAATCCTAATAAAAGCAATAATAATCACATTATTATGATTTCTGTTTTCATGAGATGCAGTTATTATGCTCTACATGGTTTTCACTACATCCACTAAAATTCAAATTAAAATATTTAAATGAATTGCTTTTTAGAATGAAAGGTAGTTTTTATTATATTTCATTTGCATATATTCTAAACTGGTAATTATTGATAGGTTTTGAAACATTATTTAATGGATTAACTTTGAAATTAACTTTATGAAAATTCTCAGTATTTCCCAATTTAATATTTAGTTCTATTAGTTTAAAAAATTATTTTAAATAATGTTCTTTGAGCTTGAATAAAAAACATGTGACATATTGTAGCTATTTTAAAATATCATGGAATAATTTTTCCGGATTTCAAGCATACAAATTCAAAGCATTTTTCTTTATTAACGCAAAATCAGTTAAAATTTAACAATAATTACATTTTAAAAATGGTTATTGTAAAAATATCATACTGAATTTCTTTACACTTTAATTTTTTTCAAATTTTCTAAACATTTATTTAATAGAATCAATAATAAACATCAAATTATCGTTTCAAAAAAATTAAAAGCTTTGTACTAAAATAATTATAAATCTGAAGAATAAACATTTATTAAAGTATTCAAATTTTTACCTGTGGAAAAATAAAATTTTGATGCCAAGATTACAGAGACCAAAATGAAATTCAAACCCATACTTGAAACTTTTAATCCTGTTTTCAGCCGGTAGCTGAAATGATATCATTGCAACTTAAAACAATATTTGAAAAATTTAGTGCAAAATGTAAATGCAGTTAACATATATATGTGTGTGTGTATATAAAACTTGCCTTTCGAATAATAATGGTTCACCTCCATGCGTGAAGCTATCTTTTCAGGATCTAATCTGAAGCGATTACCTAAGAGTTCGCTCGTAGCGCCACGGAAACGCTTAAAATAAAACAGTTGTATATGTTTTATTAATTCATATCAGTAAGAAATTTCGAAAAATTATAAGCACAATTTCAAAGATACAAAAAAATTATGTGAATGTTAAATTCATATATAACACGTTAGATGCAACAAGTGAAATGCGAATATTTCTTTTATGAAGTACTTTCGTAAAACAAAAGCTAAGCTGTTTCAAACATATACATATACTATGAATAAAAATGAAGCAGGAGCAGAATTGATTAAAACATAACAGTAAAGTTTATTCAAAGATATTTGCATTACCTTCGATCACTAAGCTTATGGTTACTTTATCTTCTCCGTATCTATTATTGGCAACACAGGTATAGTTGCCAATGTCAGTGGCCTGTATCTGTCCAATGTTAAAATTGGAACTGCTTTCTGTTGAGCTTATTTTATACTTTCCATGGCTGGAAATTTCTTTCCCATTGTGAAGCCAGTGGAATGAAACTGGCAGTTTCCCTCTTCTTACTGCACAAACTATTTCTGTCATATCTCCTAAAGATAAATTAGGGGGGACAAGGATTGGATTCAGAACTGGCTTATCACTCTGACCATTAACTGCAAAAAAAATGAATCTTATATTAAACGTTATTGAAAAAAAAAGAAATTGTCATTATTATTATTAAAAAAAGAAATTATATTAAACGTTATTGAAAAAAAAAGAAATAAATATCATGTAAAAGAAAATTACACAAAGAGAGCGTATTAGTAATGGAAGTGTATGTATTTGACCCTGTATTACGTAAAAAATAATGCACAGATAAACAAAAAAATTAGATATTTTTTTAACCTCAACAAAAAATATATATTACATTTGCGCTAAAAAGTTACTAATAGTCTAATATGCTTCCTACTGCCTGTACCTTCGATAATTTATCTAATGAAAACCGCTGTAAGACAGACAAGAACAAGGGTAATACACAAGTTTACTATTAAGAATCAATAAATTCATTTATTACATCTAATTATGAGCTTTTAAAATGCTTTTACATTAAGTAACATAGATTAAGCGTATTAAGCCTGTTATCAACTTTCATAAAAAGAGTGAGTTTTAAATATTTGTTTGCATTTTAAAGGATTCATAATAAGCAAATAAAATATTAATTAATTTTATTAGTATTTTCTTTTTTAATTAGTTTTAAGCTCATTATTAGTTTTATGCTCTCAAAAGATCTCTCTGTTTATAAAGTATCTCTCTGTTTATAAAGTATCACCAAGAACTCAAGTAGAAAACTATGGTAGCTATTCTAAATTTAAAATATTTCCCAACTCACCTCTTTCAGTTAAGCACATAGCCATAATTAAAATGAAGAAACACAGTTCTAGCATCACATCAGTACTTCTGAAAACATATTTATATATTTAGTATCATTTAGAATATTAAAGTAACAATACATTAACTAAAAATATTTCCCATCATAACAGTTAAATCTTACTAACCTGAGAATGCAGCTCATACTAACACAACGCTACTTTCAGCAGAGAATTGTCAAACTGTATTAATCCAAAATGAGATTGTAGCGCCACATAGTGTTGTTCAAACAAAATATTAGTGAAAATAGCATTTATAATTATAATTCCAGTGCTAAAATTATCTTCTTACACTTCATTTAAATAAATTTGTATACATTGTGACATATATATTTCGGAACACATTTAATATTTCTAGAATTTATCATACATGAATTGCACAGCGTATTTAAAGCTGTTAAAGTAGAAAAATCGTCGTTATGGAATACCTATGTTCCATATTATAAGAAAGCAATAATGCATGTGAAATTTAAACAATATTAATAACGGAACATTCATATAATGTGAGATAAATGAATTATAAAGAAATTGAATCTAAAATAATGACAAACATATTTTGTGAAAATAAGATTTTTGTCACAAAACCTCACCTTCAACAATCACACTTTGAGTTTTGCTGTCTGTTCCAAACTTATTGCTAGCTACACAAGTGTAATTTCCAATATCTGATGCTCGTATATTTCCAACAGAAAAGTGCGAGCTCCTGTCACCGATAGTTATTTTCTTTTTTTTTTCATTCGAAACTTCAACTCCATCATAAAACCAAGAAAATTTAATAGGCAAACTTCCTCTTTTAATTGTACATACAATTTCAATGCTGTCACCAACCGAAGGATTGGGTGGGACCATCAGTGGATAGAGAACAGGTTGTTCTTCAGACGATAGAATTCCTAAAGAAAGTTATAAAATATTATTAGCAATAACTCCAATATGTACTGTTGTTACAAATGAGAAATTCAAAATTATGATTGGAAAGTCACTTGGATTATTTCGCTTTATTAGAATATTTTCTGAAGAATTTGTTCAAATTGCTTATAAAAAAATATTTCTCAGAGACGATAGGAATTAAAAACGGCATTTTCAGTTTTTCTGTTATTTTATAATGTAAAAGTAAATATAAGTTCAAAAAAGTACATTAGCTTTCTGCAGTACTTACAAACAATTAAAAAAAATTATCTTACCTTCCCATATGAAAATGAAAGTGCATAAACTCCAGAGCCTGTTTTGATATTTCATTCCTTCTGTTGCGTAAGATTAAAGGTAAGACTAATAATCATACAAAATTTTAAAAAATAAGATATATACATGAGCAAAAAAACACATTACAAACAGAGCTCATATTAAAGATGAAATCGTTTTCCATATAGCAAAGCTAACACTGCTCGATGACGGGACGCTAGCGCCACACAACGTTAAAACGTGCAACTGAAATTAATTTAATATTACCTTTCATGATATTTGTTGTACTATATATATACTAAAATGTTACGTCTTAATGTTACGGATATATGCTTGATCAATGTTTATTCCAATAAAAGTTTAATTAAAGAAGCTTTTAAATTTTCTCAGTACCCATATTTTTTGCTTTAAGTTGTTTTCTAAGTCTAAAGGGAAAAACATTATCATCCTAATTTAAGAAGCTCAAGTAAAAGAAACGATTATACAGCTACCTTTAATTATAACTTGGACTGCTTCTTCACTTCTCCATACTTGTTTTTGGCTAAGCAGGTATAATTGCCAGTATCAGTAGCATGTATTTCTCTTTATGATAAATGAAAGCTTATATCTCTCGAAATTATTTTATATTTCGAATGACAAGAAACACCTCTTCCATTGTGGAGCCAATTAAATGTTACTGGAAGAATTACTTTTTTAACAGAGCACAGAACTTCTGACATATCTTTAAGAGCAAAGTTTGGTGGCACAAACACTGGATTTAAAACTAGAGGCCCGGTAGCTGCAACTGAAACAGGAAACAAATTTACTTGGTTTGAACTATTTTCAAAATGAAATAATATTTGAAGAAACTTTATAAAGGAACTCACAGAAACAAAGGAAAGATTATAACTTAAATTATTAAACATAAAAATTTTAGAGTTTTGTGAAAAACATTTATTTTATATTATTTTACAAATGCTAAATATTAGCGCTTAAGCCATTAGGTCACAGGCTCTCCAACACATTTTAACAATGCTCTCATACCGAGAAAGTGCAATACAATTGTTTAAATGTTCAAAAATTATAGGCTGATTGAAGACACACAAAATACAGCTTGCAGAATCCACCACACTAATTTTGTAGTCTTTTCCGCAGGTCTCGCAAACAACCATGTCCGGTCAGACGTCTAAACAGAGTTACCGCTAACTTTCTTGGAAAATTGGGAATGAAAGTTATTCTGTAGAAAAAAAAAAAAAAAAAAGAAAGAGAAAAGATTTTCATTATCAATTTTTGCTCTGTTTGTGCTCCAACTTAAAATTTCAATGAAAAATAGGTACGCAAAATTATTGTCACATAAGTATAAAAAAAATTTCGGAAATTCTGAAAGATGCATTTAAAGACGCAAAAGTAGTACTTTGACAAACGGATATCTTTTCAACAACATTTAAAGCATCAATACTTCTTGCAAAATGAATGCATTAAGAGACAAGTTCATTCTATACACTTATTAATACATAAGAAATAATCAACTAATCTTATAGTAACTCGGCGTCAACATTGTCGCTATCTCCGCTCAGTCACTGGGTAGAATATGTGTCATCTGGTAAATCATGTTATGCTTCCAACGATTTTTTTAGCATAGTTAAATATAATTGAATTTTCCAAATTACAAGCAACTGCTGGGACAAATGGAATTAAACCTTCCATCTATTTATTGCTAAATTAACAATTACCTCTTTAAAAAGGCACCAAAGGCCTTCAAAGGTCATTTAAATTAAGCTCAATTTCAGCAAACCATTGATCCTCGAACCACTAAACTCTTCAAACTGATCAGAATTAGCTAGGAGTTTATTCGTAAAAAAATATAAATGATTAGATTGATGAAAATTACTTTCATTATTTATATCAATAATTTAAAATCTGATACCTTTCTCGTTTCAATGGATTTTCTAAAAATTTTCCCAGATCTTCAGGGTGTCCTTGATCCTCAGGGGAAAAAATTATTGTTGTATAAACAAATTAAATCTTTTTATTCTATCCAAACATTTTATTAAATATTATATACATGTGGAGTAGATTTTCCTACTGCAGGGGCAGTATTTCATATCAGACATGCTAAGCATTACAGATGCATAAATACATTAATTACGCAGAAATTAAGCTTCCTATAACATTTCGTTTATATATTAATATGATTAATTAGGCTCGATACTTTGCTTTATAGTGACAATCATATTTTTTTTTAAATTTTATATTGGCAACAGAAATCTACTTAGAATATTTAGGATGTAATACTGATTGTAATACTAGATACTGAAGAATATCTGTTAGTTTTGATTCCAAAATTTCAATCATATAAATTAAATATTCATATTTAATTATTGTTAAATGCATCTGTTGTGAAATGCACCACCAAAGGCCTTCAAAGGCACAATTTTATTTTCAGTGTTACCTATTTTAGTTAAGCCAGAACTGTTGGTTTTATGTAAGCCCAAGTGAGACTATCTGTGCAATTATACTGCATTGAATAAAGGGATCTTTACACCCTTCTTTAAATTTTTTGTTAAGGATAGCTCCTCATACAGTCTTTGAGAGCTCGTTAGTTTATGCTACCTAAGAGAACGAGACTCTATATGGCGCCCGAACAATAAGAAAAAACAGGAAACGTTACCATTCAGAGTTATTCGTTCAACCTCGCAAGCCCTGTCAGCCACGGTAAATCCCTTGGGTATATTTGGATTTATTGCTGACACCGTTAGAGCTGCTATGAAACCACCAGCAACTTTTGATGTAAACTTTCAGAATGCATTAGTTAAAGCGTTCCCCATCGCCAAAGATAGAGCCAAGTTTGAGTCAGAGGTATTTAGTAAATTCTAGTACAAAATCGAGAATTTGATGGACTTTATCTTGTGATATGCAGTGAGAGGCCAAAGGAATGAAGTTTTAGGCTAACGTCTCGCATCGAAAACAGCAGTTTGGGCCGAGGAAGCAATTTGAAAAAAGAGAAAAAAATTCAATTGGGAGTAGCGGGGGGCAGAAAAGAAGTAAATAAAAAGCAGGAGGACAAGTTAAACTAAAAGGTGGCGCTGAGGAGAGGGTACAGTCATCCCGAAATAAGGGAAATCTCTCGTAAATTAAATTAAATACTGTAGTAATAAGAAATTTAAAACTGACGATAGAACAAGTTTTGTTAAACAGTATCCCTGCTAAAACTCTCATTGATACCGGAGCCCAATGCAGTTTCATTTCGGAAACTTTCTTTAGAAAATATTTTCGCAAACACAGGCTTTTTAAGTTAGGCAGGGAGAAAGCTATTGCCGCACAAGGCAAGTAGTGCACATTTATCGGCAAAATATTATTGCATGTACAAGGGAAAGATGAAACCCCAAAAGTTATTTTCTTTGTTGCGCGAAATCTGAAAGCACCGTAATCTTGGGGGTAGACTTCTTAGCAGGGGCTCTTCTTAATTTTTGTGATTCTGTTTTACAATTACAGATGAATAAAGAAAGAAGAGTCCAGACATCGCAGCTCTCCTTAGAACATTTGGCACGCCAGATGAAAGAAAAATGTTGGAAACTCTGGTAAGAGATTTTTCAAACCTTTCTGATAATAAGCCTCGGTACGCTAATATTATTTATCACGAAACTGGACACTGGTAATTTGTCTCCAGTAAAAAGCAGACCTTATCGTTATGATAAGGTTAAAGAAAAAATAATTGATGATCATACAGAAAAAATGTTGAGAAATAAGATTATAACACCTTTCGACAGCCCGTATGCGAGCCCTGTGGTTTTCTCTAGATAAAGGAACAATCTCCCACTTACCAATCATAAATCAGGGCTTTTCGCCATTGATTGTAGAAAATTAAATAGCATTACCAAGTTTCACAAGGGAATGGATACCTGGATCGATGGCTCTACCCTTATCGAACAATTCTGCTTTTTCTAATATTTGTCGCATTAACCAAGTAAATTCCATAAAGAAATGAGAGGCCAACATAATAGAAAATTTAAGTAAAATTTGAAGGTTGCAAAAATTTTTAAATGCAAGGTTAAGAATAAAACGAGTAGAAATTTTGAAGAACTAGTGTGAAACCGAAGCGCAGTACATTGAAAAGAACCTTACAAGCATCTGGTGTGAGGGTTGTTCGAACTGATGGCAGTAAATGTTTGAGATGAATTACATAAATGTCATAGTTGTAAGAAAGTGCAAATCCATCGGTGATAGGAATTAAATAAGTAAAGTACATAAATATACACATTTCTTAATTAGGAAATACTGAGTAGGTAAGGAATTACAGTGTTGGTACTGATCAAATTGTCAAGCAAGACTGAGCGAAAATGTGTTATTTTAAACTAAAACTATACAAAGAATTAAAAGGAGCATCAGTAAGCCGAGATGTATAACTTAACTGGAGGTTCTAATACAAGACTGCTTACATAAAGTAGTATTTAAGTTTTTTTTTTTTTAATTTTTTAAAAACATATATGAATTTAAGAGGGAGGCAGGCAATAAGAATTAGGCATTATAAGACATGAATAATTCTTCAAAGAGATTGAATAGGATAAATAACTTATCGATAGAATTTTCATTTACCTGAATTTCCGGCACTTTGGCCGCTATTTTCTGAATTATGTTTGATAATGAAAGACCTCTGAATATATATCCTAGTTCTTTGAATAATTTAAATATCTCTACAAAAGAACTGATACTTGCATCATTGTATTTAACATATGCTACGAATTTGAACGGCTTTGGCATAGGAGTTACCTGGAGTGACCTGTGGGTTTTTCGAAGCACTTTTTTGGTCATTATCGTGTGTAGTGTTTTTATCCCCATTTGTCTGTTGTTTAACTGTTTTAGGAAATTTCGGACACACCCTGTAATTTGTGGTGTGAGCTGTTTCTAAACAATTGCAGCACCTAACTAAGTCAACTTTCTTAGATACACATTCAGAAGTTTTATGGTCACCGGCGCATTTTACGAAGCGTCGCTTTAGTTTACATCAATCAAAATTGTGATGGAAGTGTTAGAATTTATAACACTACTCAACACTTCCATTTATTTTGCACTCAACAACTTCTATAAGGAATAACATGAAGCATTTTAATTCATAAATTTTGCTTGGGCAGTCGATTGGTAGGCCTCTTAATACTACTTTAATAGGTTTATCATACTTTTCCAGAATTAAATAGTGATCCACTTTTTGAATCTCTAAGTATCTAGTAATTTCGCGATGATTATCTTACGTTGTAGGGAAGATTTTTAGAAATTCATCCGAAACTTCAGCGGCGA